CGACATTACGAACGTCTACGCTTGGTCAGCCAGTGAGATAGTACTTTGTTGGCTCAGAGCTGCACCTCACAATCTTGAGGTCTTTGTGGCGAACCGCGTGCCTCAACTCCAGAATTCTGGGACGTCTCTAAACTGGAGACATGTCACAGGGGAGTTGAATCCCGCCGACTGCGCTTCTCGCGCCTGTGAAGCCCCCTCTTTGGTTGACCACCCACTGTGGTAGGGTCCCAAATGGTTGACTGAGTCTCAGTCATTCTGACCCCAGAATAAATACTCCGAACCGATTGAATTGCCTGGCCTACGAGCCCGAGTAGGAGTGGGCAAGGATAAGCCCACTCGGGATTTCTTCCTGCTAGAACGATACAGCTCTTTCGATAAGCTCTTAGGAGTGACTGCTTGGTTGCGTCGATTTGTCCGCAATTCGAGAGACCCGTCCAACCGAATCTCTGATTCTGTTTTGTCCCCTAGCGAGCGTCGCGAAGCTTTGATGCATTGGACCCGTATTATCCAAGCGGAGCATTTTGAGCCCGTGATTGAAAACTTGAAACGAGACTCCGTTGTCAAGGGCGCTCTGGCCCGTTTGAACCTCTTCCTGGACGACGCTGGGATGCTGCGCGTTGGCTTACGTATGAAAAATTCTCAACTGCCGTACGGGGCTCGACACCCGTTACTGCTACCTAAGGACGGCGCCTTTGTTCGGTTGCTGGTAACTCACCATCATGTTAAGAATGCCCACGCTGGGTGTAACGCTCTTTCGGCTATTATGCAGCGGGAGTTTTGGATTTTGGTTGGCCGACGCACCATTCTGAGCGTCATCTTTAAGTGCATACCTTGTTATAAACTGAAGGCCACCATATCGCAGCCTATGATGGGTGACTTGCCACCCGACCGCGTCAGGGCCATCCGACCATTCGCTGAAGTCGGAACAGACTTAGCTGGCCCCTTCCTCGTCAAGTCCTCTAACCTTCGTTACGCGCGTTCACATAAGGCCTATCTTTGCGTCTTCGTGTGCCTCTCCACTAAGGCCGTTTACTTAGAACTTGTAAGTGCCCTCAGCACGGAAGCCTTCTTGGCCCCGCTGGGCCGCTTCGTATCGCGTCGCGGTTTGCCGGACCTGATCCGGTCTGATTGCGGAACGAATTATAAGGGCACGAATAGATATTTGAAAGAGGTCGTCGAATTTCTGTCCAGCCACAGGACATATTTAGGTACTGCAATGTCCAAGAAGGGCATCCAGTGGAAATTCGACCCTCCGGCTTGCCCACACTGGGGCGGTATTTTTGAGGCGGTGGTTAAGGTTGCATCTCGGTCGCGTTATTGGCGAAACTATTTTGACATTTGAGGAGCTTGCCACTGTATTCTGTAAAATTAAGGCGGTACTCAACTTTCGGCCCCTTTTTCCCCTCTCGTCTGATCCGAATGATTTGGAGGTTTTAACCTCCTGATTGGCCAGCCGCTTAACGCCCTGCCCGAGTACCCCTTCAGGGAAATAAATTCTTCGCGGTTGAGCAGATTTGACCTGCTGCAACAGATGACTCAGAGTTTTTGGCACCGATGGTCTCTGGAGTACCTACATCTTTTGCAGCAGAGCATTAAGTGGTCTGACAAGACGGATCCTCCTCGGGTTGGAGACCTCGTGTTGGTTAAAGAACCCAACGCTCTGCCTTTGTATTGGCGCCGTGGGCATTGTTAAATTGTCGTATGGATCGGATGGGGTGCCTAGGGTGGCCGAGGTTTTGGTCCTGTCCCGTTTGCCAATCTACTCGCGGACATAAGTCCTTATGTCCGGGGCGGAGGTTTGTTTATGCCAAAAATTAACCTTTTGAAAATTGAATTCATAATTTGCGACTCAGCGCGTGCATAGCACGGTACGAAGGTCACCGCCGGCCCCTCCCCGGCCGCATTCCAATCGTGGTCGCGTCGATCGAGACGCGTCGAGAGATTGATAGTGAACAACTGCCGGTCGAAAGCCGAATTTACTATTGGAGTTTTTCGCTTCTAATGTTTGGTTACTCGTATCTTTAGTGCGTTCACGCGATACGTAATATTTTGATTGATTAACTTAAATTCGTTGGCAAGTAATTTACGTAAATTGTATAGTGATTGCCGGTTGAAGTGCTTTGACAATATTAATTTGCGTCGACGAGTTTCTTTGTGGCATTTGATGTAGCTCTGAGATATTTTCCTGTGTCGGTTAAAAACGCTAAACTTTGTGACCTGCGAGAAACAGTGTTCATATTACATTATAGATTTGTGCTAAGGAACGCTGAACTTACTACTACTACTATTATCGTTTAAGGCCGCGATGAGGGAGCGTGGACTCCCTCATCGCGGGTCTGTATGGATTCACCAACACGGAAAATATGGCAAGGTTAAGGAACTGTTTACTGTGTAGTATCGGCGCTGCTGTTTACCGCGAAGGATCCAGCAGACATTATGCGGACACTGGAGCAGTGTTTCGGCCGCCCGGAAGTAATTATTGATCGTGCGTTAGATGACTTGAAACGCCTTCCGCGCCCGGGTCAAACCGCCCAGGAGTTAAATTCATTCGCTATTAAGTTGCAAAATATAGTATGTACGAGTATTATGCAAAACCTCGACGGCAAAGGATATTTACAAAATCCGATGCTAACTAGGGAGTTTACAAGTAAGCTTAACCCTCACTTACGGTCGCGTTGGTGCGATTATGCGGAGCACTACGGAAGTGCGGAAGCACGAGGGGGACGGAGCGTTGACTTCATTAGACGAGACCTCTCCAACTTAACGTTTAGGTTCAGTGTGCCTCTAACCATTCGGTGATCGCTACAAGTTTTCACCCTCGCAATCACGGAGACATCACTGAACAGTTGTCGTCTGGTCGTCATAATGAAGTCAATCTCATTTTTTGTCGAACCGTCGGGGTTCGACCAGGTCCACTTCCTGTGAGGCCGCTTCTAGAAGAAAGAGTTCATCACAAAGAGTCCCTCTTTCTCCATGAAGTCGGCCAGCTGCTGGCCCCTTGGGTTCCGTTGCTCTATTCCAAATTTCCCTACCTTCAGCTCGCCGTTCTCTCTTGTGCCTAGTTTTGCATTGAAGTCTCCCATTAACACCGTATATTGGGTTTTGGAGGAATGCATGGCTCTAGAGATAACCTCATACATTTCCTCCACCTCCTCATCGGGGTGTGCCGAGGTTGGTGCGTAAACCTGTATGACCTTCAGCGAATACCGTTTGGTGATTCTGAGTATAAGGTACGCAACTATCGTCGACACACTCCCGATCTTTACAACATTGTTAACGAGAGACTTGTGGACGATAAATCCGACACCTCCTTGGGACAGATGGTCGCCCTCCCGGTGATAGAGCAAGTTGCCGGATTCGAGGATTACCGTGTCCTCCCCCTCTCTTCGGACTTCGGATAATCCTATAATATGCCAGCGCAGCTTGTCTATCTCTTCTTTCAGCTCCACGATCTTCTCGTCATTCCTCAGGGTGTGTGCGTTGTACGTTGCCAGGTCGAGTCGTCTAAGGTGGCAACCGAACCTCCACCGGAGATTCTTAGCACCCCCTGCCCCGCCGTTACCATGGTCGCCACCGTAGCCAGGAATAGCGGGGCCGCTGGGAACTGGGGACCGTCTTTTTGCTTTATTCATTGGGGGGTATTTGCCATAGTTGCCACGCTTGGCGAGCGGGTTGGCAACCGCAGTTTTTTTATTGTAATTTTGGCTATTATCAGGAAGATGCTGCTGCCCATCTCCTGCCTGTTTCCCTTTGTCGCCTTTTACGACACCCACGGGAGGATATGGGGTAGTGGATATTCTTGACCGCCACTACACGGCAATATCTAATATGTAGGCTATTAAAAGTCAGCGAGCAGTCAACATCAAAGGAGTGCAACTTTTGCACGTAGTACTATTATTTATTCTGAGGTACCGGGCCGGGCCTACGAATGAATGAATGAAATCGAAGCTTCTCAGGAGAAAAATTTATTACAAATACGAGACGGCTGTGACTTAGTTAGATTGTTTTTTTCGTAAAACATTTTGGTTTAATTAAAATGAAGCGTCAAGAAATTTCTTAAATATGGACGCATTTTAATAAAACTTACCAAGAGGCATTTTGTAAGAGATATAAAAATTAAAAGTTTTTGTAGGTACTTTAACGTTTATTTAATTCTTATTGAAAACGGGTTTTTTAAAATACATTCAAATGATTTTTATTGGGTTTTAATGCTCTAACAACTTTCAGTAAAATTATTGAAAAAATAATTATAGATCAATTGTTTATTTTTTTAATAAAAATAAATTACTCCATAAAAATCAATTTGGTTTCACAATGGGTCGCTCGATGACAGACGCAGGTGTCGAGCTTATGAATAAAATTTTTGAGTGCCTGGGTAAGTTCAAAATATGCCTTAGGCATTTTTTGTGAAGTTTCCAAATATTTTTTTTTAAATAATCGTCCACAGTATAGTATAATAATAATAATAATTATAATAATAATAATTCATAATAGATTATTATTATTATTATACTATACTGTTTCTCCAACCCTACCAATTTTTTGATATATCTTCGTAAACAAGACAGAACACTGAATAACAAGTTGATGATTCTAAAGGTGGTAGAGACACGCTGCAGCTATATAAGTTGTATAGTTGTAGCCCGAATGGGCCGGCTCGACCAAAGATGGAGCACGCTCTCACAGAATACCAGCGTAGAATAGCAACTTAATGCTGTTGTGTTTTGTATGGTGAGTATAGAGAACCGGAGACCCTTTTTACTGGACAAAGGGCTAATCATGAAAATCATGAAAATGCTAAGGTGGAATATCTTATGCATTTTGATTCGGAAACGAGGATAGATGTAGTAGATGACTATGGGTCACAGCAACCAATTACCATCAGGGGGACTATGTCTTCACATGAAAAAAAAACACTAGTTTTAAATGAAAAACTCAGAAATAAAAAAAAACGTAATTTTAGTATTTAGCTATATTTATACAGCTTTCAAATATTTCAGTTAGTAGTTTTCTCTAAAATTATTTTGATTCGTTATAACCATCTGTTCTTTAAAAATGTTCTTCATTAGATGATTCTGGCAGAATTTCAAATCAACTTGTATATAACCTTGAAAACAAAAAAATATGTATACACTTTAACTAACTGCCTTGAAACCTCAGACCAACAAACAAACAAAGATCGAGCGCTGCGTACATTTCTAGTGAGACCAAAAACCATGCTTAACGTATTGTGAGAACGTGCACTCACGTACAGGTATGTATTATAAATCATTTGCAACCAACAACGTACTTATGTGTTCGTCTAGAAGTGATCCGTCAAAGGACACAACATAAATATTGCGCCAAGCCATATAATCTACGAGGGAGTAGGTAGTGTCCTGGAAGAAGCGACTCGTAACATGAATAGCCAAACAAAAAATGGCTTTTGAAGGAAAATTGTGAAAGAAGTGATTAGCCCATCACCTTTTGTTTACAGCTGTTGTAAACAAAAGGCAATGGGCTTGCACATGGGCTTCACGGCAAGCAACGCAATATGCTGCAGCTATATTATGGTTGTAGTACAAATGGGTCGGCTCGACCGAGTATGGACTACGCTCTCACAGAATACCAGCGCAAAATAGCAGCTTAATGCTGCTGTGTTTCGTATGGTGAGTGTAGAGAATCAGATATACTTTTTACTGGAAACGAGGCGTTCCATTTTAGTCCTCGGCATATTGATTCTGAATATAGGCTTTTTTTGCTGGTTCAATACAAGATTTAAATTTATAATCACAATACGCAAGGAAAAACATCACGACGGGTATCCAGATGAGCTTGCATGGGAATTGTAATATCATCGTCAATTCAGCCCTTCACAAGTCCACTGCTGAACATAGGCCTCCCCCAAGGAATGCCACAAAGCACGGTCCTGAGCCACCTGCATCCATCGACTTCCTGCATGTCTTACCAGGTCGTCACTCTATCTAGTGGGGCGATGCTCTACACTTCTCCCGCCGGTACGAGGCCACCACTCGAGAACTTTTTTCGCCATCGGATGTCGGGGCAGCTTCTTCGTAACTTTAATCATGGGGGGTATATTGCCATAGTTGCCACGCTTGGCGAGCGGGTTGGCAACCGCAATTTTTTATTGTTGTTTTTCTGTTATCAGAAAGATGCTGCTGCCCATCTTCTGTCTCAGTTTTCCTCTGTCGCCTCTTACGACACCCACGGAAAGATATGGGGTAGTGGGTATTCTTACCCACATTCTTACACTTAATCAGTAAGGAAATCAATTAAGGAAATTTGCAGGTAAAATTTAGGTAATTATTAAAAGCCTTAACAATTTATTGTTGCGAGAGCGTTTTGAGGGCTTCGTGGTGCATTGGCTTAGCAATGAGTTGCGGCGCTAAAAGGCCGCTGGTTCGAATCCCGTACAAAATAAGTATTTGTATGACCTACAAATAATTGTTCCTAGTCTGGATGTTTTTCTATGTGTTTGTAAACTGCCTCCACTATAACGGACAAAATCTTAGTGTAGAGTTAACTATAAAAAAAATATTATGAATCGTACCCGAATCTTCGTCACCGCGACAATTTAGCATGTCAAGATAACACCCATTAATAAATGTTCTGTATTTGTAGTCTCTAATTTTAGACACACCGCACACAGGTCGGTAATATTCTGGACAAAAAGCGGGACAAGATTGATCCTTGTAAAATCTTCGGGTTCCGGTTATATTTTTGTGTAGCAAGCAAACAGCTATTGGTTTTTTGATAAATTCTGTATGAAAATTAAACGGTAGTATAATATATTAAAAACAATAAAAATTCGTTAATGAATTTGATAATTCTTATTTTTTTTTATAGGATAAGGGTGACAAACGAGCACACAGTCATTTACCATCAGGTGTGTGAAGGGTTGCTGCGGTCAATAGATATCTACATCTATCCTCGATTACAAAATCAAAATGCAAATGGGCTGTTACCCGTAAGGACTTACATGGAATGCTTCGTTTCCAAAGGGTCTCCGGTTCTCTACACTCACCATACGAAACACTGTGAGATGTGAGAAACGCGGTCCTTTCCCGGTCGAGCCGACCCATTCGTGCTTCAACTATATTAATATAGCTGCAGCATGGATCTACCATGTAAAATTGATATGTTATAAATACTTATTAAATAGAAAACATAAAAAAGGTAAGTACCAAGTTTTAAACACTTCGAAATAGACGCCATCATACATTCATTGGGAAATATTTTATATATGAAATGGCGAGAATTGAAGCCACACACCTTTTCGTCGTCTCTATCTATATAACAATCGTGTCGACATTTTGAACAGTTGATGAAGTAAACTGCTGAAATTGAAGCAAATGATTAGTTTAGTGAGTTGAGCACGGCTTGTTGTGTTAATGATAAACATATTATGCTGTTGTATGGAGGTTCATATGTGTGTACGTCTAGTATTGTTGTTCTCTAGTCTATGTGTATTGCTTCGTTCGTATCTGTTGATCATGCGGCCCTGTGTTCGAAGTTGCAACCCGGTGTAAAGCAACCAAATTTAGTAACTAAATTTATATTTTAGAACAAGCTGCATTTATAATATGTTTCAAACACGAATGGGTCAGCTTGATCGGGGAAGGTCCACGCTCTCACAGTGAAAAAGCAGCTTAATGCTACTATACTCATATTTCTCTCCAGTCATATAGCCCATCGGACTATTAGTGAGAGAATAGAGCGCACCCACTCGTGTAACATGATCCCGTCCTGCGTAGATGGCTAGTCTCTGTCGAGATTGATTGTCATGACCAAAAGGAGATGAACTTGGTTCCATACAAGCTTGGGCCCGGCGTAAACAAAGTTCAAATATATTTTGAATGTTCAAATATTTGCTACTTATAACAATAAATCATATTTTTGTAGGACCTGGGGTTTTGTTTATATTTTGTTTTATTATTTGTAGGTTATGTAGTAAAATCACTCGTTCTTGGGATAAGTTGTTTCAATAAATTGAAAAGAACACAAAAGAATGCAGTTTTTTAGTTATTATTAAAATATACAACTCAAATTTTTTAATTGTTTAATTATTTTCTGCAATTATTTTTAAAATGTCATCTAGTAAAGCAACCTGAGGCTGTACATTGTCTGTTCTATTCCTCTCAAAAGCCAAGTAACACATTATTGTCATTATATGGGCACAACAACCTACTGTCCTGTAAATCAATAGAAAAGCCAAGGGTCAAGTTAAATTAATTCACGAAAATAAAAACACGAAATGTATCCACAATATAGATTGTAGAGAGAAGGAGGACTATCTCTATATATGAAAAGTGTCCCTAAAAACGTGTCCAATAAGAGTGGCGCTGCAATAGCATAGGATAAATTGAAAAAAAAAGAGCCAAAGGTAATTAGAATAAGATGGAGAAATAAACAAGAACCGACCAATCCGCTTGGTTTTGTACTACGTAAATAGTTGAGAGTTTGTATACTGGCATTTTACTTACTACTCTAGTCATGAAATTTTTAAATATTTGTATTCAGCTGACTTCACTCCGTTCACAACAGCTATCTTCATATAGTAGTTTTTCAACGCCAGTGCTATTGTGGTAGGTTTTGGAACTTCTATTTTCAGTAAATGGTAGGACACTTTTTCAACTTTCGCCCCTTATATGATGGTTCTCCTTGTACTCTACATTCCATAATCCACAAACACAACCACAATGCCAAATGGACTCACTAACTAGTAGATTCTAAGCCAAATGCGCATATTGTTGTTGTTTTTATTATTCGCTCGAGAGAGCAGGCAAAGGAACTACGCCATACAGCCTTGTCTTCATGTATAATTATCCTTCATAGTTCACTGCTTGACAATATATTGATGCGTTACATTGTGCAGCCCTTGGGAGATTTTGACGGAAACTTGAACCAGCAGGCAGCTGACAGTTGGCGATGGTATCTAAAGGCGCCTATGCAAACATACAGCTTATCTTGAGAATCCATCAACATCAGAGCACTTGTTTCACAGTTTCCACTATAATAGTTCACATGCGCAGACACTTAATACACAAAATCGCACCACTTTTACATATCAAAGTCCACTTCAAACCATTATTTAAACAATAATACAGGAGCAGCAAGCCGCCGCCGGTCAAGTTCCCGCCAAAATCCAAATGCGCATGACACTGACAAGTTAAAACTCGAAATTAACAAGTCTCCTTCGAAACAGCCAATGATCAACGACCATATAGCCTATTTAATCGTGTCCGATGTTATTCAAATATTTTGTTTAGTTTAATAACGTAGCCTATTCAATCGATTTTATAAATAGATTTCTTTTATTCAGTATTAATCTCTACAGATTCGCCTCAGTGTTTCATTATTATGAGTTCTTTTTTTGATACTGAAGGCTATTTATTACAAAAATAGCCTTCATTATCGTTTTGTTTTTGCTGTTGGTAAAGCATTAGCTTTCGTTTTTCAGTTTTAAAAAATGTTTTTATGATTGTTCCATACATTACAGAAATAAAAACCATTTAGTTATACTTATAATTTGTCGTTATATTACGTACATATTTTTGTATAACAGTTACGAACGATGTCAAGCACCCAATTTTATACATCTCCTTTGGTGTGGAAGGTTTTAAGGTACTTTCTAAGTGTCCACTTTGTGCAAGCATGCAGCGAGCTAGGGCACATTTAATGTGTCCTGATTGGCAACTAGTATGCTATGCATTCCACCACCCTTTTCACGATTTTTTATTTGTGGGTAAAATAAAATTGAAAAGATTCGTCATGAGCAACGTCTAAAATATTTCTCAGGTTGTGACAGTGAAAACTATAAACGACCCACTGTTGAGCGCTGTCCTCTTCTCATTTCTATGAGGATTATGGAGCAATTAATCCACGATGGCTGGTATTGTTTATATGTACTACATTAAATTCCTTTTCTCCGTTTTTAGATCATAAAAGTCCACTGCTGGACGTGTTCCCCTCCCGTTTTAGGGAGGATTTGGAAGAAAGAAAGAAATAAACATTTGTTGCAAATACGCCACACACATATGCACTAAAAATATAAATATTTGTAAACACAATAATTTAATAAAAATATTATTAAATTTAATAAAAAACTGCAACAACTTGACAGATATAAAATTTAACAAAAGTATGTATCAATTATAATTAAAATACATTCCTCATGTGTGCTGTGGCGCGTTAGGCAAACGGACCTCACTCAGCTTATGCTGTCCCTAAAACAACAACGCTTTTTTTCAGTGGGCCCGTACGGATAGTAACCTAATTTGGGAGACGGATTGACTATCTCAGAACCAGACGTATCGCAACTTTGGCGCTGCTGCTTTGGTATAAACGAGGTGGTTAAACCGCCAACGCAAACGAAATCCATAACATTTTTCTGGCGTTACCTTTCGATAACCGACGGTACGAAATAAGGTGAATTCTGTAATCAATTAATAATGGCATAAACTTCACTATTTGTATTCTGTTGTAGTTGGCAATGCAATAAATAAATAAATAAATGATTCTGTTATGTAAGAATTATTCGACTGTATGTTATTTCTTATGTGTATGTTCTTTTTTATAGGAGAGGGGGCAAACGAGCATGCGGCTCACCTGATGGTAAGTGACTATCGCCGCCCATGAACAACCGCAACACCAGGGAAATTGCAGATGCGTTGCCGGCCTTTTAAAAAGGAGTATGCTCTTTTCTTGAAGGTCCCTAAGTCGTATCAGTCCGGAAAAATTGCTGGTGGTAATCGATTCCACAAGGAAGTTGTGCGAGAAAGAAAACATCTTCTAAATCGCACAGTGGTGGACCTCCAATCATCCAGGTGGTATGGATGGTATCGCAAGTTAACTTATCTTCGTCAATTGAGAACTCAATTAAAAAAAATTCCGCGCCTGAGCCAAATTGCTTTTACAGGATAACAGCGTAAAATAGCAGCTGGTGTGTGTAGAGAACTGAAAACTGTTTTTACTGGAAGCAAGGCATTCTAAGTCCTCAGGAGTGACCTCACGTGTGGCTTCTTTTTTTATAGTAAAAGGGTGACTAACGAGCACACAGTCCACCTGATAGTAAGTGGTTGCTGTGGCCTATAGACATCTATCCCCGTTTGCGAATAAAAAAACGTATATAAAAGAATAATTCTCCTAAAAAAATATTCCTTATTCTAGTCAAAATGGTTAAAATCTAAACTTTTAATTAAAAATAAAAGAAAAAATAATATTTTTAAAACAATCGCTTTAGAAGTCGGCGCTTTAATCTACCCACTATGTCATAGTACCGACTTTTGAAGCTATTATGTGAAAATAAATTATTCTAGTTATTTACTTCAAGTTGGCTTAATACTTTTGTTAAAAATATATTTCTATTTATTCAAAGAAAGATACTGAGTACTAATGACATTGATAAATGAGACCAAGATTTTGCAACAGCATTGTGGAATGCTTTGTTAACAATAACTGGGTCGAACAGAGCAGCGATGATAATTTACGCTAGTTTTTGCTTATTTATAAACATTTCCCGGTAGCGTCGTCCATTTTATTAACAACGTACTTTCGTCTGTTAACATTGCAATACTATAGGTGTATAAGTAGCTCTTTTCTTAGCTTCTTCTTCACTGATAATCAGCGTAACGAATTGATGTATGTATATCTTCAATTCGTGACTTGCTAAGCTAAGTGGAGACCATTTCGGTGCATATTACGTTATTCATTTATTTATTTATTTTTTACAAAATCCACAGCCCTAATTACAATGTAAATGACCTTCAGAAATAAACTTACAGCCAATAACGGATCTACTTTATACATTTTTTAACTTAAATTAATCGACCGACAATCAATAAGTTTGAGCCACAAAAACATAAAATTTTAGAATTAACAATTAAAAACCGCGCGTCTCTCTTTCGCTCTGATCTGTGTGTCCGTATACGCGCGCGCTTGTGTGTGTGTTCAATATACATATTAACCATTTCCTTCAAGTACTTCAAGAACTTCCCTCTTAAACACATGCCTACTACTATGAAAAATGTCAGTATCATTAAATTGGTTATTAAAAGTTCTATGCAATCGACAGACCAATGCGTTTTGTGCGTAATTTGATTATTATTTTATTCCTTTTTATATAATTTAATTAAATAAAAGAACTATTTTATTTGATTTATTTTTGTTTGTAATAATTTATGTGTCAAATAACTTATTTTCTTCTTTCTTTCTTTCTTTTTAATATTTTAGTTATGAACTTCCTATAATGAACTTTGAGTTCATCAATTATAATACATTTAAAAAAATATAGGCCTACTTATATATAGCATAATAGGTCGAATATTTGCCATAGTAGCCACGCTTGGCAGGCGGATCGGCAATCGCCATATTATCTTTGTCTATAAAAAATAAATAATTAAAATACAAATGCATTGTCACCCCTGAGAACTGAGATGGAATCGTTTCCAGTAAAAAAGGCCTTCGGTTCTCTACACTCACCATACGAAACACAGCAGCATTATGCTGCTATTTTACGCTGGTATTCTGTGAAAGCGTGGTCCTACCCCGGCTGAGTCGACCCATTCGTGCTACAACCATAATATAGCTGCAGCGTGGCTCTACTACATATAGCACGTATATTGCGTGTTACAGAAAAACAAAAATTATAATTAAAAATCTTACTCTTTAATAATATTAAGACAGCCAGCAAAAAATTCATTTCAAATATTTTTTTTTATTTAATCTTCAAGTAAAACTTTGATCAATCTTGAAAGTAAAGTAGTCTTGTTTGTGCTATTGAGACAATATTTCCAATTAATAATCACAAATTGAACAATAATTGATTTTCTACGAAGAAGTTCTGTAATTTACGCTAGATGATTAATTGAATAATTAAGTCTGTATAGATTTTTCCTCCATTTAAAATACTAGCTGGCCCCGCAGACATTGTTTAGTCTTTTTTGAAATAAGATGTGATAAGTTTCTCTCCGAATCGGGCTAGATTTTCTAGAAATATATATAAATGTATTCATAATATATAAAATATATAAATAACTCGATAACAGTCCCTATCGGTCCAGATTATGTTTTTTTTTTAAACGAGTATACGGCTCACCTGATGGTAAGTGATTACCGCCGCCCATGAACAACTACAACACCGGGGGAGTTGCAGATGCGTTGCCAACCTTTTAAAAAGGAGTACGCTCTTTTCTAGAAGGTCTCTAATTCGTATCGGTTCGAAAAAATCGCCGATGGTAGTCGATTTCACAAGGAAGTTGTGCGAGGAAGAAAATTTCTTTTAAATCGCACAGTGGTGGACCGCCAGTCATCCAGATGGTATGGATGGTATCGCGAGTTTTGTCGCGATGTGCGAAGGTGAAATTGTGTGGCTGGAATTAGACCGAACAATTCCCTAGAGCTCTCCCCGTGGTAAATGCGATAAAATACGCAAAGATATGCAACATCTCTTCGCAGTGCCAGTGAGTCAATCCAATCGGAAAGAGTTCGGTCGCCGACGATTCGAACAGCTCTGCGCTGGATACGATCAAATGGATGTAGTTAGCACTGAGGAGGTTGCAGGCGGTGTGCCGGTATTAAATATTGTCCCGCCAATTTGGCCTTCTCCTCCAAGTGACCACGAAACTACACGTCACTCTATTTGTCGACGCCGAGAATTCCGATACTGGCTGAGGCAGCAAGGGGAGTGCCTTGAAATAGAGGAAATACGACAAAGCGGTTCTTTTTAGCAGTAAACGCGCAAACTTGTGTCTTCTGGGGATTGAACTGGACTAGATGTAGTCGCCCGCAATCCGAGACTTTGTTCAACAAGTCTCGACTTCAGGCACAAGTTTCTCCCGGTACTTAGTGACATTTTCCCGATAAATATTGGCACGGCCGGTGTATAAAGCATCACCAGTGCTGTCATCGGCATAGCAATGAATGTTACCGGTTTGCAACATGTCCTTGATATTTTTTTATAGGATAGAGTGACAAACGAGCACACAGTCCACCTGATAGTAAGATGCTGTGACTCATAGACATCTACATTTATCCTCAATAAAGAATCAAAATACAGATGCGTCGTCACCCGTGAGGACTAAAATGGAATACCTCTTTTCCAGTAAAATGGGTCTCCGGGTCTATACACTTACCATATGGAACACAGCAGTGTCAAGCTATCATCTTTTAAATAAATATCACATTGACGGGCTGCCGATGACAAGGGTCAGAGAAGTTAAAGATTTAGGAGTAACTTTTAATACAGGGCTTACTTTTCATGATCACATCATAAACATCTGTAAAAAGGCTTATAGAAATCTAGGATTTATGCTTCGTACGGTCCGAGGATTCACAAACATAAGAGCGATAGTCGCCTTGTATAATACATTGGTACGGAGTCAACTTGAATGTAATGCAGTCGTCTGGGCTCCGCATGAAACTAAGTATAGTCTCATGCTAGAGCGAGTACAGAATAAATTTATTAGATATTTATATATGCGTTATTATGGTGTATACCCATTTTATCCTCTAATGTATCCAACTTTGTTTATCTTAGGTATGGTAGGATATAATGAACTAAGAGTTAGAAGGGAACTTGCGCTCACCTCGTATATTTTTAAAGTACTCAGAGGAAAATTGCATAACGCTGAAATGTTAGGGCAATTAAACCTATATGTTCCTGAGAGGTATGTGTGGCACCGACGGCAGCCGCGACTGTTGGTGGAGCCGCGCGCTCGAACCAACCTTCTGAGTAAGGCGCCTCTGACGCGCGCACTCCATACGCTCAACTTAATAGCTAGTGAGACGGACCTATTCTGTTGTACTCTGAGTGAATTCACAAAGATAGCATTGCTTGTAATTTGTTACAAAAATTAAAGCATGAAGACAAATTAGTTAGACAGCTACACTAACGCATTAGGTAATCCTGTAATGATAGTTGTAAGTTTCAGAAATAAATAAAAATAAATAAATAAATAAAAATCTTACGCTGGTATTCTGCGAGAGAGCCGACCCATTTGCGCTACAACTATACTACTAATATAGCAATGCTACTACTAATACTAATGCAGCATGGCTCTACCACGTATAAAAATATGCCTGATATGCAGAAGAAACAGGGTTGGCGATAGCACGCAGCCTTGTTGAACACCAGCGTTTAAGAAATTGTAATCGGAGGATGCACCTTCTACTACGACCTATATGCTCCGATCTGCAAAGATACTGGTGATCCAATTGCACAATTTCTCGGGAAGCCCATAGGAGGAAGCTTTGTAAGTAGCCCTTTGTACCAAATCCGATCGGAGGTCTTCGCTATGTCCAAACGTCCAAAGGGCCAACGCCTCCCCCTTGGACGCTACTGCCTCCGCCCATTTATGAGTTGTGTAACCCCGGCCGTGTAGTGGCGGTTAAGAATATCCACTAACCCATATCTTCCCGTGGGTGTCGTAAAAGGCGACAAAGGGAAACAGGCGGGAGATGGGCAGCAGCATCTTCCTAGTAACGGCAAAAATACAATAAAAAACTGCGGTTGCCAACCCGCTCGCCAAGCGTAGCAACTATAGCAATATACCCTCCATGAGCAATGACAATAATAAACGGCCCCCAGTCCCCGGCGGCCCCGCTATTCCTGGCTACGGTGGCGACCATGGTAACGGCGGGGCAGGGGGTGCTAAGAATCTCCGGTGGAGGTTCAGTTGCCACCTACAACGACTCGACCTGGCAACATACAACGCACGCACCCTGAGGACTGACGAGAAGATTGTGGAGCTGGAAGAAGAGATAGACAAGTTACGCTGGCATATTATAGGATTATCCGAAGTCCGAAGAGAGGGGGAGGACACGGTAATCCTCGAATCCGGCAACTTGCTCTATTACCGGGAGGGCGACCATCTGTCCCAAGGAGGTGTCGGATTTATCGTCCACAAGTCTCTCGTTAACAACGTTGTAAAGATTGAGAGTGTGTCGACGAGGGTTGCGTACCTTATACTCAGAATCACCAAACGGTATTCGCTGAAGGTCATACAGATTTACGCACCAACCTCGGCACACTCCGATCAGGAGGTGGAGGAAATGTATGAGGATATCTCTAGAGCCATGCATTCCTCCAAAACCCAATATACGGTGTTAATGGGAGACTTCAATGCAAAACTAGGCACAAGAGAGAACGGTGAGCTGAAAGTGGGGAAATTTGGAATAGGGCAACTGAACCCAAGGGACCAGCAGTTGGCCGACTTCATGGAGAAAAAGGGACTCTTTATGATGAACTCTTTCTTCCAGAAGCGGCCCCACAGGAAGTGGACCTGGTCGAGCCCCGACGGTTCGACAAAAAATGAGATTGACTTCATTATGACGACCAGACGACAACTGTTCAGTGATTTCTCAGTGATCGCGAAGGTGAAAACCGGCAGCGATCACCGAATGGTTAGAGGCACACTGAACCTAAACGTTAAGTTGGAGAGGTCTCGTCTAATGAAGTCAACGCTCCGTCCCCCTCGTGCTCTAATCCAGAGTCCCGAAACCTTTCAGCTCGAGTTGCAAAACCGTTTTCAGTGCCTAAAAGACTGCAATGAAGTGGACGATTTGAATGGCAAGCTCGTGGAAACTGTCCATGCGGTTGGAGCTAAGTTCTGCAAGACCCGCCGCAGAAGAACACAAAAACTCTCCGATCACACTCTTAATCTCATGGCTGTTAGACGGGAGATGAAGCTACATTCTTCAACAGATTTGACAGCAAACAGGCAACTGAACAGACAGATGCATGCGGCGGGACTTACGCAACTTCAATACAGCTCGTATTGAAGAAGCGATCGAGCGGAACCAAGGCTCCAAAGTCTTTGCCAGAGATCTGTCTGCCAGAAAGAGCCAACTGTCAAAGCTGAAGACCGAATGTGGCAGCATCGTTTCCGGGGCACCTGAGATTTTGAGTGAGATTGAGAGGTTCTATGGGCAGCTGTACACGTCATCGTTGGAGCCACACGCAAGTGTGAGTAACGATCCAAGAGCGAGTCTTATCCGACATCATTCCGATGATATCCCGGACGTCAGTCTGAGCGAGATTAGAATGGCTCTCCAGCACCTTAAAAACGGCAAGGCCCCAGGCCAGGATGGAATTACAGCGGAGCTTCTGAAAGCGGGTGGAAAACCGGTACTTGAAGTCCTTCAGAAGCTCTTTAATTCCGTCCTCCATGGTGGCATTACACCGGAGGCGTGGAGCAGAAGTGCGGTGGTCTTGTTCTTCAAGAAAGGCGACAACGCTCTCTTGAAGAACTACAGACCAATTTCCCTTCTGAGCCTCGTCTACGTGCTGTTTTCAAGAGTCATTACGAATCGTCTCGCGCGCAGACTTGACGACTTCCAGCCTCCCGAACAAGCCGGTTTCCGAAAAGGATTTAGCACCATAGACCGAATGGTATGCTTCGGCAAATTGTGCAGAAGTCCGAGGAATACAATTTGCCACTATGTCTGGCCTATGTGGACTATGAGAAAGCCTTTGATTCCGTCGAAATTTGGGCAGTGCTGCATTCCCTTCAGCGATGCCAAGTTGACTGTCGGTATATCGAAGTGTTGAAGTGCTTGTACAGTAGGGCTACGATGGCTATCCGAGTACAGAACCAGAGCACGAAACCTATCCAATTGCAGAGAGGTGTAAGACAGGGTGACGTCATATCCCCGAAACTCTTTACCGCTGCATTGGAAGATGTTTTCAAGCTTCTGGACTGG